TGTCGATGGAAAATGCAGACATATGGGTTAAAGAAACTTACTCAGAAATTGTCAGGTGGTTGCCAGCTAACCTGTTTGAACCACCCAAGTGTGCGGCCACCAAAGAAATGATTCGGGAGATGATTCGCCTCATGACTGAGTACACTCAGGATTGCTTCCTTGCCCCTTTAGCTCTTCAAATTCTGGCAATAATACCACATCTATTCTGTCAGAGGACACACAATGACTAAGCACAAAGAAAATGCGGCAGCAATGAAGAGAAGATTGACAATGTGGCAGAATGGGCCCGTGATGATCTCCTATGTGAAGCAAGAACATTGCAGGAGAGTCTAAAATTTACAGGAGACGGAAAGCAAAACACCGAAGATTTTGCAAGAAAGTTTGGAAACAAAATGCGTGTGTGAAAAGTGTCTTTAGCGGTAAGATCTCTCACACAGGAGAGGCGAAGACGACGGCATCAGGTTCCAGGGTGACTATATCCCCAAATGCTGTCCTGTTCGAGAAAATAACAGGAGGGATGGTGTGGAAAAATACACTGAAGACTCAGGGAGGTGCCGGCCCTTCAGGTCTGGAGGCAAACGGTTGGAGAGTCATCCTCAGCACTAACAAGTTTGGCCCCGTAGCAAGTGATCTCTGCACTGCCATCCTCATGCTGCCAACACCTCCATTCTCTGACGGCCTGCCGCCTCATTCCCCTGGATAAGAATCCAGGTTGTAGGCCTATAGGGGTGGGGGAAGTGCTGAGGCGGATCATTGGAAAATTCATAATGGAGGTGGTAAGGGATGATGACAGGTCAGCAGCAGGGAACCTGCAAGTTTGTGCTGGCCACCAGGTTCTGTCGGATATTGCTAAAACAGAGCCACATGCGGTTTTGCGGCATTCACCCATGGAATCGAGCATCGCTGGAACTACCTGATGCGCACTATCCCTGATATCGGACCTCTCCTCCACCACCAGGAAGAAGCCATCAGCGTCAATTTCATTCCAAAATTAGTGAAACACCTTCACTTAACTTCAACCGAAAGGTCACTCCTTGCACTACCATCGAGACTGGGAGGAATACAGTAGGATTGACCAATCCAGAGGAGATTGCTGCTCACGAACATCAAACCAGGCAAGCTCACGGTAGCCCTCACCGACCACATAATGGCTCAGAATGCAACAGGTGAGGTGGATGCCAGTGAATTAAACAAGATTCGACGGCCCATTACAACAGAACGATAGCACGGCCCATGTGATAAGTTGCAGCAACTGATGCTGCAAGTGCCAGAGAATTTGAAAAAAAGTAACTATAATGCAGGGGGTGGGCGCCTCGAACTGGCTAACTATATTACTGATAAGGGCAAATGGTTTCAGTCTTAACAAACAAAAATTTACAGATGCCATTGCTCTAAGGTACGGTAGGCCAGTAGAATGTTTGCCCTCCCAATGCGTTTGTGGCTCTTCCTAGGACGTCGACCATGCCATGGTGTTCAAGAAAGGGGGCTTCGTATGCATAAGGCACGACAAAGTAAGGGATCTCACTGCAAATATGTTGAAGGAAATCTGTTATGATGTCCGAGTAGAACCGACCCCCCTTCCATTGCACTATGAGAATTTCCAACATAGGACTTCAAACACATCCAACAAAGCCCATGTGGACGTCTGTGCTCGAGGATTCTGGACACGGGGACAGCGAGCCTTTTTCGACATGAAGAATTTTGATCCCATGGCCGCAGGTCACTGCAACCTAACTCTCGATGCTGCACACAGGAGGAACAAGAACGACAAAATTAGAGCAAATGGGGAGAGAATTTAGAACGTTAATCAAGGTAGCTTCACTCCTCTGGTGTTCACAACCTCTGGTGGGATGGGACCAAGTGCTAGATACTTCTATTCCAGACTCACTGAGGTGTTATCTGAACAGAAACAGCATCCCAGAAGTTATATTATAGCCTGGTTGAGATATCGACTGTCCTTCTCTCTCCTTAGGTCTGCTTTGCTTTGCTTCAGAGGAACGAGAGCATCGACCCCAAAACTGACAACAGCTGCAGATATTGACTACGAGGCAATAGTCACTGAATACCGCATAGATCGGCATCTCAACTAACTCAACACAGGTAGGGTAGCTACTTATGGATTAGGATAGTTAATTTTAAGGTAATGAAATGGCGGCGAAGGTGTGGTTAATTGGGGGAGGCTGGAGGCCACGATTAAGAAACAAACAAAACAAAGTAGTAGTTGTATGTGTGTGTGTGTGTGTGTGTGTGTGTGTGTGTGTGTGTGTGTGTGTGGTAAATATTATTGGAGTACTCGAAACCTGGGTTATGGCAACAGTGGGCTGATTTGGAAATGTTGGCAGTCCTGCTTGGTTGCTCGGTATTCCGACCCATTGTAGAGCCCAAAGCACGTTCTTGAATGACCTCTCCCCACGCAAGCGTTGGGTTCCCGATGGTCAGCCTGACCATCGGGTATGATGTTCGTGAATACGGCCCATTGTTGATAAATAGTTGTTTCATGAACTCTTGGCTATAGGTTGACAATACGTGTTCTCTCCTAGAGATCAAGGTGCTAAGACCAATCTTGAGGTACTCTGTAATTATCTCTTTAATATTGGATTCATATAATTGTCTCTATAACAATGAAAATGATAATATTTGATAATCATGTAAAGAGTGGAATACCTTGATAAAGTATAGATAATGTTAGCAAGACTAAATAATTTATGGATATAGTTTTTGCATCATCGTTTACACAATTATACAAACTTATTTACGTACTGTTTGTAGATATGTAGATATATGAGACGAATATGGCTGTAATATGTAACTCTGTACTATTTACCATTATTGATTCAGGTCTCTGTATTATATGTTTTATAATCATACTCCCTTTTGTCACCGAGTGTTAGTTCAGGTTTTGGGCACATGCGCGCTGTACGCGCATGCGCAGAGAGAGATACCCAGAGAGATTCCAAGACAGGACGCTGTTTACCCCTGTCTTAACTCCTTTTTGTGTTTGTACCAGAAATAGAACTTACGGACTTGACATCAGTGTGTTTCCTTTACCCCTGAGTGTAAGGACCACCTGAGTCTCCCACACTGTTTAATATCGAATCAATTGTTTCATTTTGTCACGCTGAATGTGGACATGACCAATAATTACTTGGGATACTGGTGATGAAAACTGATTTTAAAAGTAACTAATTTACATCAGTTTTGCATGATAGAAAACTAACTACCAATGGTAGCATATCGCTTTTATCATCAGGCACACGGGCTCGTTCAGAGTCGACTGGTTGAATTAGCGCTCTCGGCAACATAGCTTTGCGAGACCATCTGAACTGTTGCTGTTGTCGGCCGTCTATCGTTTATCCCCCCATAAGCTTTTCACCTTTTCTTATTATAAAAAAAAATATTTCACTGATACTTTTCATAAATGTTCGTTAGACAGCCACCATTCAAGACTTACACCATTTCTCTAAAAATAGAGAAATTGCATTGGCTATCTTCTTTTATGACTTTCCTTGCTCTTTCATTTTTTGGCCAACCTGCACTCTTACCTTCCCTGCCCGCCATCTCTCTTCATCCTCTCACTCCCTCGTCAGCCCCTCCCACGATCCCTCCTCCCCCTACTCCTCCACTCTTTCACCAAACATAGTTCCCAAGTTATTGCCTTTCATTTTTCCTTCTGAATTTTAGCATTTCCTTTTCTCCCGAATTCCCTTTCTTCTCCCCCCACTCTCTCTCTCTCACAATCTCTCTTTATTCCTCTTTCTTTTAGCTCCTTCTCTTCTTTCTTCCTTATGCCTCTATCCTCTCCTCTCCTTTATTTATTCCTCTCTCCTTCTCTCCCTCTCTCTGTCCTTCTCTCCCGCTTCCTTCTTACGTTCTCATTCTTTTTCCTCCTATTTTTACACTTCCTTCATCTCCATGTTCTACAGTATTACCCCATCCATATCTCTCTATTTCTCATTTGCTCGTCATTTCTTCTGCCTTATCTTTTCTAAGGCATTATCTCGTTCTTATCTTATTCCCCTCGTATCCATCCTTCTCTCTCTCTGTCTCACCGTCATTTATATCTGAAATTTCTCTCCCTTTCCTTCTTAATCTCTCTTTGTCTCCCTTTCTCTCGATTCCACTCCAAACTTTTCTTTTTGCTTCTCTTCTTCCTCATCTTCTCTTCACTTCTCTCTTCTATTGGTTTTCTCCAGTTCTCTTTCCCTTCTTTCTTTTTTCCCCTCACTCCTTTCCCTGCTTGTCCTCTCTTTCCTTCTCCTTCTCTTCCTCAGTTCCCTCACCCTTTTCCATGTCTATCCTGTCTTTTCCATTACCCTTTCTTCCCCCTTCTTTCCCCTCACTTCTCTTCCCTAATTCCTTCACTCACCTCCGACTCCTTCTCTTTCACGCCTCTTCTGCTCCACTCCTTCTCTTTTCCCTTACTCCTTGTCTATCTTCTCTTTCCTTTCACTCCTATCTTCCCTTCCCCTCCCACCTCTTTTCCCTCACCCCTTTCCATATTTGTCCTTTCTTTCCCCTCACTCCTTTCCATATTTGTCTTCTTTTTCCCTTTCCATCCCCTTCCCTGTCCCCCCCCTCTTTCATCATCCTTCTTTCCAGTCTTTTTTTTTTTTGGGCTCTCGTCATTTCACTGAACTTTAGTACGATGGAAAATCTCTCCCTCCTCCTACGCATGTACAGTAGCTAAAAGAACAATCTGTGCATACTTTGTGGGAAGCAATATGAGACCATGGACAATAAATTTTGGTATAGGAGGGCTGTCACGAGTCACACGTAAAATTTCGGAGCATATCGACCCCCACCTGCACAGATAGTTGTTTTAGCTACTGTACACTTTATTTATCAAGCTTGTATTCGTCCTCCTCTTTCTTCCTCTTCACCCAATTATTTCTCCCCCACTCTCTTCCTCCCCATCGTTGCTCCCTCTTTACCCAGCCCATTCTTCTCCTCCTTAACCTCCTCTTCCATTTCCTTCCTGCATAAACGCCCTTCTTACTCACCTTAACAGGCACGCTGTGGTCGACGGGGGCGTTTTCCTTGAATTTGAACCCAGAGGGGTAAGTCGTCGTCATGTTAGGAGCATTGTTGATCTGTGGAAGAGAAGAGCACGGTGTTAGTCTGGTGTAGGAGGACCATCATCTTAGTTCTTTGTCAGGAGGCTGTTGCGTTCAGGGTTTTGGGCAGATCATAAACTTCGTGAAAACAGAACCCCGAGTCTATCGTAGCGCCATAGACCCCGAGTGTAGGATGTAGTGCCGCTTAAATGAGTGTGTGTTGTAGCGCCACTAACACCGTGTATGTTGTAGTGCCACTAACACTGGGTGTGTGTTGTAGTGCCACTAACACTGGGTGTGTGTTGTAGTGCCACTAGCACTGAATGTGTATTGTAATGCCACTTGCACTCAGTGTGTGTTGTAATGCCACTTACACTGAGTGTGTGATGTAGTGCTACTTGCCTATCCAATTCAGTACTACTTTTTATCCATACCAATGAGTGAAGACCTTGTTCATAACACCAACGTCTTCATCCAGAATAAAAGTCAAGAAGGGCAATTGGTTATCATGTGTTCAATATATCCGCCTTTTTAGTCTCACTGCGATGTTGAGACACTTCGTCTCCTGAGTCGGTATTGAAAATAAGCGGTTAAAACATTTAAAAATGATGTACTCCTAAGAAAATATCCATCATTGCACATTTGCAGGGAATGCTGCACTCAGTAGTGCTACTACCACACGGTTTCAGTTGGGAGTGGAGGACGATGGCATCTGGGATAGCCCGTGACTTTTTGGTTGAAATTCCAATTTGCAGAGCCTCTGGCAACAAGAACTTATGTATACACTGGACACTGTGTGGAACTCCCTGAAAATGTATATGTTTTTATGTTAAATAACCTCCATCAGTTCAAATCATCCCTTTTTTAAATAGCGCCAGTCTCTGGTAAGGAGACGACGCCTCGGCGAAGACATTTAACATTGACACTTGTCTGATCTCTCCATGTACTTTTTTGGTGGGGTAAGAAAAAGAAAAAAAAAGATTAGCCAATAGAAGCCTTTCCGACGAACGTTACTCTGGTGAACGTTTTCCGATATTTTCACTTTGGTGACCCGCTGAGGTAGACTTTGTCGACCAACACTATTTTGGGAATGTTCTTTTCACTATTTTCTCCGTGCAATTCTCCCGCCCTCGCTGGTTCACTGCTTCATATTGATATGCACGCCGACATTCGTCAAAGGAAAGGTGTGTGGGTAAATTGAAAGAGAGAGAGAGAGAGAGAGAGAGAGAGAGAGAGAGAGAGAGAGAGGGCTTTACTTTTTCACACTGACAGTCAAAATGTAGACAAAATATTATCATCCTTGAATTAGTGAATTTAGTGTCCAGATTCACATAGTGGACGGTCTCTAACTTAACTTAGTCATTGTAATTGTCAGTGAATATCTTATTTACTATAAACTTCAAGGTACCCTGTAATATACTAAATGGGGCTATAAACTAAATGTGTTCCAGACCTAACCAAACCTAACCTAACCTAACCAACTCACCTCTCTCAACCTATGCTAATCTTACATTACATATCATAATCCAACATGTCCTGTAATAACCTAACTTAACCTAACATATCCACCTAATTTAACTGAAATTCATTTGTGTTGTTTACATGCGTCTTTAGTTCGATTGGAAAGATATTCTTTTATTTTGTACTGCTGAGAATAGAACTTAATATTATGAATATACCCCTGTAGAGCAATCTTTAGTTATTAACTCGAGAATAGGATTGGAATTTGCTATTTGTTTGCAACATATAACAAGTTTTCAAATGACCGGGCTAGGGGGGGGGGATTGTAACATTATGGCCGCCCGAATAATAAGGTCGCCCATAGTACGCCCACATGCCGTCCACTCTCCCACAGTCCTCAATGGCTGTGGTCCACGCGGTCAAACCTCGTGGTGTCCAATATATCTTTGACCAACTATCTTCCGTATTAAGGGAAAACTTTCTTAAGGAAAGATAATTATAGTAAGACAGACTACCACAATGTTCCCGGTGGTAAAAGAAACTATACTGTGTATGCCAAACATTGGCACTCATGGGCCTAACCACGCCTGCGGTATGTGTAACCAATTAATTATGGGCAATTGAGAGGTGCTCAGAGATGAGACAATAAAGTAAGTTGTTGGGCAGTTAGAGGGCCATTTGTATGTGGAACTAATTCAATTCCGAGTGGGTAGGTAGTAAAGTTGTGAGGACCAGGAACTCGTGGTGTGGCAGCGGCCTTTAGGATCAATGGCGGGCAGCAACGAGTAAGAACATAAAAATAAAAGGAACTGCAGCGAGATAAATTGGCCCGATCTAATGATTGTGTTTGGTAATTTGTTCCACTCAACCAAAACTATATTTCCAAACCCGTGTTTACGTATTTCACGTCTAAATCTAAAATTTTATAATTTAAAACCATTGCTAACCGTTCGCTCCTGATTTGATATTTTAAGTTCTTTACTTATATCAACCTTTTTTAACCCCATCTTCCATTTGCATGCTACGATCATTTCGCTCCTCACTCTACGTTTCTCAAGAGAATACCGATTTAGTTATATTAATCTGTCTCTATTCTCAAAGTTCCTAATACCCACGATTAGCTTAGTCATATTCTTCTGAATTTTTTCTAGGGATTCAATATCCATTCTATAGTACGGTGACCAAAACCGAACCGCATAATCCAAAAGAGGTCTCGCGTACACGAGATAAGCTGTAAGGATAACCTAGTTTACCCTGTTACTAACACTCCTTCCTAACTTGGTTTTAGGTCCCTACTTATCAATACCTTTGATCTTTCTTTCAATCAGATTTCTGCTTATGTGTGTTGCTCAGCTGATAGCTGGTTCCCTTGCTTCCATTTCCTAGCCCTAGAATTTTACAGTTTTCCACATTAAATTTCATCTGCCAATTTTCAGTCCACACTAAATGCTTGTTTAGGTTTTCCTGTAATGTTTCAGCGTCCTCATCATATTTAATTACATGCTCTATTTATGTGTCGTTAGCAAATTTAATTATGATGCTGTCTACGCCTATAACTATGTCGTTAATCCATATAATGATAAGTAAAGGTCCAAGTACTGAGCATTTAGGGGTACGCCACTTGTACAGTTAATGCTGACTCTGCTTTCTGTCCGTTAATCATGCCCTAACTCAATTTAAAATTTATCATGAGCCTCCACTTTACAGATTAGTCATTTTCATGAGGGGACACTATCCTCTAACTGCCGGTGCAGGATAGTGATTTAGCTCCCTTTTCGAAAATTGGTATCACATTCGCTATCATCCAGGACTCGGGCACTGCACCTGATCTTAAAGACAAGTTCAGCAATTTCCCTAAAGACATAATAAACTCTTCCTAAATACCTTATTGCGACTTATTAAGTTTTAGTTTATCTATTTGTTATCTATTTGTGTTCTTCATTATCACTCTGGATGGTTGCCCCGGGTACCATGTTTAGGTTTTCGGTTGTGAAAATTTTTAAAAATATATTTTCAAAATATTGTTCAGTCTCCCCGCCTTGGTCCGTTTTGGTAATTTAATAGAATTATCTTGCATGTAGACGTCTCCCTGTTTGATTCTTCTCTATGTACCCTTTTTCTGCTCAATAATATCCTTTAAGTAATTATTCATACATTTAGGTCATTGTTACATTATCTTAGCTTTTTTGTAGAATTATTTGGTTTTTGCGCATTAAGTAACATATTATTTAAATTTTAATGGTGTTCGACAACATCATATCTCGTGAACAGGTCGCCTGATAAGGCCGGGTCGCCCTCTGCAGTCATATATTGTGAGATCGTGTATTTTACATCTAAACGCGAGACGCTCTCCTTCAGCTGTCTTCTCAGCCCACCATAGTTTACTCTCCGGTAATCGGGGACAGCAATGGAATTTCCCCTGGGACTGACACTCAGTGAAATTTTAAATCTTAATTTCTTGTGAGCGCTGTTACTGTAGCTTGTTCGTTCCCTGCGTAGAAATCAAGGGGATTTATGTCAGGTAACCGTAGGTTTCATCACATTCCTATAAATCCTCTCATGTGCTGTAATTCCGAAACTATTGAGAATTGACAATTTGATCATATAATAATTTATCTTTATTGATATCTCAGGAAAACACCGCCTGAATTATGTAAGGTATTTAGAGAACACCCTGTGTATGTCCAGCCGGCAATTGACGCCAACTTGCCTGGATAACCATTCACTGCCTATTCCCCTTCTCGGTAGAACACGACATATGAGAGGGATCCCTCCCTCCATCCTAATAGCTACCTTGACTTTAGCAAGGAGCTCTTTGCTCCAACACCGGCCAATATCTTTGCTTCTTGCATTAAGGCATAAAATGGGTTTGTTTCAATAATTGCCAGACGTGATATTGGCTATCCTATCTACTATATCTTCCAACCCGGCTCCTGACAGACACACCCTCGTCCTCATAGTCTTATCCTTATTACAGAAAGTACGAGCCATGTACTGTACATTATTTGTGAATCGCCAACCATTAAGGTTTTCTTACCTTCTATGTCGACCTTATCTTCATCATTCTTATCTCCCTGTATGTCTATCAGAAGACTAAAAGACTTTGAGGATTTAGTTTCTTTAGCCCCCTTTATCATGAGCCCTGTGAATCTCCGTTCTCTGGCTGGAGTGTGGTTGTTGGCCCTGGTGTTAGCTACTAAAGGAATATCAGATATAATTTTGAACTGTACTTAACTTATAGATCAATTAGCAAATAAGGTTCCCTACCTTTCAATCTTCTTTACTCTAAGTTAATATAGCTAACCTAAAGAGTCCCCAGTTCGGTTGATGGACGAGTATACTCGCTAAGATTGAACAGAGTGAGACTACCACTGAATTATTATTTGCCAGGGAATAACAGTATTATATTTTACAAAGTGCTTCTTATTTACTACCATTAAACAGATGTTTATGTTATAACCCAACTTAACCTGACCTTATCAAATCTAACCTAATCAAACCTAACCAAACTTAATCTGACTTAACCTAACGATTGGGATTGAAGCCCATAAGGATTAGGTTCCATTAGGACTGGG